GTTCCTTTTGGTTTCCTTTTGATGTCCCAGTGAAGCCTTTCGATTTCCTGTTGATTCCCTTTGTGGGTAGTGAATTTCCCTTTGAAAGGTGGACATGATAGTTGAGCCAATAGATGGCGCAACTCATTTCCTTCCCCTTCACATCCCCTCTTCTTCCATACCCGTTCCCTTCCTGTTTCCTTTCCTGTTCTTTTTCTTTCCTTGCCCCCTGCCTTTGTTTTGAATTTTTTCTGTTCTGTCTTATTTTCTTGCCTTTTACAGTCTTTTTGTTTAATTTCCTCTCCTCCCCTCTCCTTTTTTTCCACTCCATTCCTTCACTTCTCCTTTCCATCTCCTTCCCCTACCTTTCCCTCCCCGTTCCCTTTCATTCTGCTTCCAGGACAACGCATGAGAACTGCCCAGCAGATGGCGCACCCCCTGTGTGAAAGGTAACACAGCACTGATAGTGGAGCCAATAGATGGCACAACTAAGTTCCCCTCGCCTTCCTGTTCCCCCTCCTTCCCTCTCCTGCTCATGTCTGCATGCTTTCCTTTTCCTGTCCTTGTGTTTCCTTTGTTTCACTTCTCCTTTACCTGCCCTTCCCTTTCCTGATCTTTCTTGCTCTTTCCTTTTGTGTCCTTTCCTTTCATCTCCTTTGCTTTCCTGCCCTTTCCCTCTCCTCTCCTTTCCTTCACTTCTCCTTTCCCTCTCTTTCCCTTGCCTTTCCCTTTTCCTTCTGCGTCCACTTCACACTCCATTGGCCTAGCTTTCAGACCAGTGCATGATAAGAGCCAAGTAGATGGCACAATCCCCGGGGCATGGTCAGGCAAAAGTAGATGGCACAAGGTTTTTTTGAGGTTGATGATTTAGCCCTCCCAAGTCTGGAAAAAGTAGATGGCACAAGGAAAATCGGCTCTCACCGGTAGAGGCTTGCAGGTGCCCAAAATGTTGATGGCACAACCCTAGAAACACGTTCCATCTACTTTTACCGCGGAGTATGTATATATATATATATGCGTGTGTGTGTGAGTGTGTGTGTGTGTGATTTATCATGATCTGTCTAGGTGAGTAATCCTGGTGCTGGTTGCTTCTGGGCCCATGAGCAGCCTAGTGGTATGGGATGTGGCAAAAAAATCTGTCCGACAAACCTATCCGGTTCACGCTTGGTGCAGCTTCATATTGCAGCTCTGATTGTCTTCGTGACATCACCATCATACCGGGGACATCAAATGAACATAAAATCGTTCTTGCTCGGACGGCAACATACGCCTGTATCGCGGCTTTCTGGACAGCGTCTATGCCGTCACCATCTTCCCGTCACAAGATCGCGTGTTGCCGCGCATCTCTGATTCCAGCCCGGTACTGAATCGATTCAAGAACCACAGAACGAGGTCCAGACACGGCAGGGAGTACGAAGCACAGTCCTATCTATCTGTATATGTGGGGTCGCGGAATAAAGCAACTGACGCTCATTCAGGAGTAAGCGAATGTTCTTCGGTACGACTTGTCTACGGCATGATGCCATCTGTGGTAGGCCAATTGTTTCTGAGCCATGGGCCACTTCCTCTACCCCCCAACACTCAAAGACCGGACCTTATATACCGTGTACTGCTCGACTTCTAAGGGGCATTTAAAGACAAAAACCTCGGACATCAGAAGGGGGTAGGACCTCTTTGTTCCTCAGTTCACTCCACCCTGATGCCTTAGTTCTTTGGCATAGTGGCATGGTGGCGTGGTTGCGATTTTAGGGGCGTCTTCCTTTTTCATGAATGAGTTCCCCCGTATCCCGGCAATTGCAGTTTTTGAGAAGAGAGCAATGTAAGTGAAGCAAAAATCTGAGCTCGACAATCCAAACTGATCACAACGGTGAAGTCACGTTAAACAATCTAGGTCTGAGTAGCATGTAGGGTCACATGGCTCAGTCAAACCATGACAGTCCTCTTCCTGGCCCAGGTCGCTGCAAATTTGCAGTGGACGACGGCCTGCAATGAGCCTCCATGCAAGGTCATTCTCCATGGCTTCAAAATCATGTTCACCTCGAGCTGGGGGATCTGCCCTCCATGGAACTTGAAAGAAGTCTTGGCAACAAGTGACAATTTTGTAGTCCAATCGGAAGGTTCTCGGCCCATGTGGATGCACATCATCTTCGACTGCACAAGCATCCTCAAGCTGCGATGGGAAAACAAACAAGTCCGTTGCACTTGCTTTCTGTATCAGTCGCACACTTTGGTCGTGGCACGTCTCTGCTGCGGGTTGGCACTGGCCACTGGACTGGCACAGTCCCGCTGAAGGATGTAATCTAGCTCTCACATGCGCCGACAAAGATTTGCGGTCATCCAAATAGGCTTTGACCTGCGCAATCAGCTTGTTGTGACTCGCTGCAAGGTGATGCAGGCCGAGCGCGGCAATATGCTCAGGCTTGTCAGCCTGATTTCCGACAGGAATGTCACCATGCTGCGGCTTTTCAGGATCTGCAATGGGGCATGCGATGGCTAAAGGTGATTCAAGTGCAACACTTGGAAGCCGAATGACTCCACAGCCATCTCGCAACTGGTCGGATGCCAAAGCAGCGTTCCAAGCCGCCTCGAAATTGCGGAAGGTGATCCAAGCACGGTGCTGCTCGTGACCCGGCTGGCTTTCCAGCCAGGCTCGGATTGTTGTGGTGCGTGCTTCTCTCATGGTTATCTTCCCCCCCCTCCTTGTCCCGGACCAACTGTATGAATGGCAGGATCCACGCCAGACTGGCAGCTCGAAAAAGGTCAGGCAGAAGACTCCAAGAAACTCCATCCTCCTCTACTCCAGCCATCAGCCATCGCAGAATCACAAAGCGATTGCCACCGCAAGTTGCTGCAACAAGCTCTTCCAGGGTATCTTCTGCAGAGGCGATTACAGAGGGCCTGAGAACATGCAAAAGCAAACCTGCTCGCACCCCTTCCTTCACATTGACCCAGGCTTCGGCTGGAAGACCCCTTCGTGCCAGCAGGTCAGTTGCCAGGAACTTGTTGGGGTCTGTCCCCTGGCTTGCCTGTCTGCGTAGAGCATGAACCCCTGGCAGTGGAAAGTCGCCGCTTGCACCTTTCTCACCCAAGATCGGCCGAATGATGGTGTTGTGAAACCAAATCTCGTAAGCAACTCGAGCCTCGTGAGTGGTCAGGTTCTGTCCGCTTGGCTGCTCCTGTGGCTGCAAAGATCCCAGCCGGTGAAGCACAGCATGCATGAAGAGCGTTGCAATTTCAAGGTTGCCACTAAGCAACTTGGCAAGAGCATCCAAATCAGCTTCCACATTCGCCATGAAATACCACACAGTGTCATTTGCGTTCCTCACTGGGTTGATTCGAGCAACCTGCCGAAGGTGTCCCTGCAAGAGTTGGACGATGTTTTCTCGCCCCTGCACCCATTCCATCTCAATCCCAACCAGGGCACTGGCATGGATCAAAAGATGGAGTACTCGAAATGTCACTGGGTGCAAACCGCTCTTCGGATCAGGAGGCTTGCCAAGTGGCTGATTCCAATCTTGACGGACTGTTTCAGACATGAGACTGTGGGAAACCACTGCCCGATCCGCTTCTGTCACTGAGATGTGCAAGTCAGCCTCCGTCAAGGCAAAAAGACCGGGAGAAGGTGGTGGAGGCTGAAAAGCAGCTGGGAACCCTTGGCTCATTGAGTGGAAAACCGGAGGCCACCCCGTTCCGTGTGGACGTGCAGTAACCACCACTGCAATCAGCTGCTGGTGAGGCGCAAAGGTGTGGTTCTGGCCTCCATTCATCAAAGTACAGCGACCTTCACCCTCCGGGCTTGGACATTTTGCGGCAGAGACAGGGGCACCGCATTCGGCATAGCAATAGCGGTACCCACACTGGCATTGGGCCCAACCTATGTTCCCAGTGACGGGGAGCAAGTGTTTGTGCAAACCTGAGTACCTCAAGGACTGCCACCAATCATCGGGCACTCCAGGCCAAAACGTGGAATTCAGAGTCGGTTCATCGATGTCGTTGAAAGCGGTGAAGGGCTTGATAGCTGATGGCAAGTTCTCCTGCCTCTGGTTGACGCTGGCGTGGGCGGCCCCGAGCAAGCAAACGAGGTGTGTGAAGATGGATGCTCGCCAAGCATGTTCGCCGTCCATGTTGAGGAAATCAATGTTCCACTCAGTCTCATCGTCTCCTTTCAATCGCAAAAGCTCTCCAGCCCGTCCAAGAACGCTCGGCAATTCGTCCGCTATTCGGCCTGCTAGGTCAAGTGTGTCATCGTCTTCGGCCGAGCATTGCATGCAAGCAACTTCTCCCACTGCTCGCATGATCTCAAGCAAAGCCTGGAAGGTCTCGCATTTCTTGCCGCAGATTTCTTTAAACCGTTGCGCAGCCTGCTCCGAGCGCGACTGATCTTCTGAACCTATATCATGCAGGCATCCCACTACTGATCTAACCTCCGGACGAACCTGGTCTGGCAGCAACAGCGACAAGCCCAGGGCGTTGGAAAACGTCACAGATTCTGCCCTGCAACCCTCAAGGAAACGGTGCAGGTCACTGTCACCCCCTCCTGTGTTTAAGGCAACCACCTCTAGCAAATGTTTGACAGCTGTGTTCGTTGGAAGTGGTCTCTCACGCCGTCGAGCTGCTGCAAGCACATAAAGGGATGCAAAAGCTGTAGGACGCTGCTCCACTCGAAGATCTCGCCCCTGGTAGGTGCACAACAACGTGCCAACATCGTCTGGAGGCAGCCCTCCAAGCTGCATCCCCAAAGCCTGAACGACATCCGTCAAAATGTTGTCCAACCTCTGCTCAAACATCTCGTCTTCCACTGCTGCCTCGACCAAATCGACACTCTGCAAAACAAGCTCTCTGGCAAGAACCAACGCGACAAAAACCTGAGACTTCACGGAGTCTCCCTCCCGCAGTACATTCAAGGCCTTCTTGAAAGCCTCCTCCAACATGGCTAACGCCTGCTTTGATGAGTTGCCAAACGTATTTTTGAGCGATTGGACGACCAGTTGGGAAATGACCAAGCCGAGTTGAGACGTCATTGACAAGGCAGCAGACAAGGATGCAACCAAAGGGATGTCCCATCCGACGCCCTCGACTCTGGAGGGCAACACAGCGTCTAAGAGGTGCATCAGTGAGGCACTCGTTCTCGGTTCAACCTCTTGCTCCTCCATTAGTGAGTAGAAAGACTGAAGAATTTCCTCGGAAACCCACTGCGTTTGCGACCAGCTGCTGAAGCTTGTAACCCGAACCCTGGGGACAAGATGTTCCATCAAATAGATGGAGATCTGTTGGAGGTAGGGTTTCAGTGGGCACAACTTTTGGAAGCAGCCCTCTGAGCGGTGAATAGCTTGATTCATCAGGGCAAGGCAAGCCTCAAGTGCAGACGGATCTGCTTTGGACTCCTCGCTTAGGAGCTGCAATGCGTATGATACTCCAACAAGCGGGATCGTGGTGTCAATGTTGTGTATTTCAACTAGGCCCGCCAAAGCCAAGAGCAAATGTTTTTCCGAGTTGTTCCTGCCGAAGATAACAAGCTGTCAAAAAACAACAAACCTCAGCTGAATACAACATGCTTGAACCGCATGAACGATGCTTCACGGTCTTTATGTTTGTTTTTGGTGTTTTGAACGTGCTCTAGCACACATTCCATGTTTTTCCCGCTCTTTTTGGGCAAGCCCTTCACAAAGAACTCCGGGCACGAGCCTCATGAAGGTCCAAATGCTAAGAGCTTGTTCTGGCGAAACGCCGTGCGAAAGCATGTGGCTGATGGCTGCAACACTGACCTGGCCACGTGTCAGCTGTGCAAAAAAAAAAAACGACCCTTCCCCCCTGGTTCTGTCTCTCTCTCTCTCTCGTAGAAACCATCCAATTCCAACTCTGTCCCATGGCAAGTGGCCACAGTTGCATCACTGCAACCCACGGTGATGACGAAATCTTCGATGGTCACAGATAGCTGGCGTAAGAGCTGCAAAAACTCCTGCCAATTTGTCCGTTCCGCCATTCAAGTTTCATGTCTCATATCTACCTGACATAAACGCGTCAGGCGTCTCTTTTTGTCACCCACGCTGGCATTGCCCAACATAAGTCGAAAGGTGTTTTCTCGCCAACGCGAAGACTTCAAAATGGACAAGTTTACAGCCTGCAGTTTCAGGTTTCAGCTATCGAATTCCAAATTAACGACATCACCCTTTCACGTGTCCCAACCTGGCTCTGCCGTCAAACTCTTGTTTCAACAGTTGCGACGCAGAACTGCTCCTTTAGAAAAGCTCAATTGTAGATGAGAAACCATGGAAGTGGGATCCTGCAAAGAAATCCTTGCGGACCGGCTAGGATGTGGGCTTGCGTGCGTTTGCGCAATGAAATGTGTGGCTGCAGGTCCTGCCCCTAAGGTGTTTTCAAGGCGATGTCTATGCAGATTTCTGTGCGTGTTTACAGTGAAATATGCGAATTCAGGTTGTGCCCCAAGGATCTCTCTAAGGCAAGGTTTATGCGGGTTTACGTCCAGTTTTCCAGAAATATGCGTGGATTCAGGCTCTGCCCCAAAGAGATCTCCAAGGTGATGTTTATGCGGGTTTGTGTGTGTGTGCGTTCTTACACTATACAGGTCTGCGTGAGTTTTTGTGGTAGAATGTGTGCTTTCAGGGCGCCCCAAAAATTTTGTAGGTGATGTTTGAACAGGTTAATGTGCAACGTTACAATCAAAGCTATGGATTCAGGCCCTGCCCCAGAAGGTGTCTCCGAGGCTATGTCCATGCAAGTTTGTGCGCTGTTGCAATAAAATGTCTGGATTTAGGTCCTGCCGCAAAGCTGCCTGTCGATGTTGATGTGGGGTGTGCGAGTGTTTTTGCGATTCAGGTCCTGCCCCTAAGATGCCTGCCGCGATGTTTTAGCATGTTGTCTCCAAGGCGATGTTTATGCAGGTGTACGTCAACTTTTACACCAAAAAAATGTGTGGATTTAGGCTCTGCCCCAAAGAGATCTCCAAAGGTGATGTTTATGCCTAAGTCTAAGTGGTCTGGGAAAGCACTATGTGTGGAAATTAAGACTCTTATTCCTTCACTCAGGACCTTGCTCATGGTGTCGGCTTTGAGCAGCCCTGGGTCTGAATTTATGTGCTCAAACGTTGAACCCACAGTGACATACAGGCAACACGATCAAACGAGGGTTGCGGCAACCCTTTCTCTGTCCTGGACATCATCACCAGCTGCAGCACTCAGGCAAAGCAATTCTTCCAGATCTGCAGCATGTAGTTCAAATGCTGCTCGGACCCCTCTTTTCAAGAAGGTGTTCCACGTTCCAGCCACTGGGAAGGGATCTAGAAGAGGCTCCAAGTATTCGGTCCAGCTGCGAGTCGTGGGAAATTGCTTTTGCAAAGCTGCGACCTGCTGCGAGATGGGTCGTAGCATCGCTGCTGCCACTGCTGGCAGAAGTGCTCTCAACACATGCGGATCCTCAACTAACACTGATTTCTGACCCTCACCACAAGTGTGAACATAGCTTTCTTGTTGTGAAGCCACATTGCGCACCAGGGCAAGGACAAGCTGGTCGAGATGGGAACGGACACTTTCGAAACTTGCTTGGCCTGCATCAAGCCAATCCTGCACGGAGGCACACGCACGTGCAGCCATTTCAATGATCACATCATTGCCCAGCAGGCCAATCCCATCAGTCGCCTCATCCAACGTCACCTGTTCCCCCACTGCTTTCAAAGCTTCCCAAACTGCAACAGGCAGGCAATGCCGGACTACTGCTGACAAGCGGATGGTTTCACGAAGCAAGACTTCGGTGAAGTCTTGCTCTGGCAGCAGATTCTTGGTTTGCAACTGGGGCAGAATGATTTGCATCACAGCCACGCTTCCAGGCATCAAAAATGCTCGTCGGTTGCTGGAATGAAGTTGTGACAGCATCGGCTCACGGCAAATTGGTTGACTTGGAGCGTTCAACAGCGATTGGGCCACCGGTCTCCAGTGATCACTTCGCACAAACTCATGTTCCCTGCTGTCTGCGGGGGTCAACCAGCTAGAACGTCTGGTCAAAAGCAGGGGTTCTGATTGGACAATGCTTGGACAGCTGTTATGCAAACTGTGAAGCCATAGCGCCTTCATGACCGGCAGAATCTTCTCGTCTTGTCGTAGATGTGACAGAAGGGCCAGCTGGAATGGGCCCGTGCGTCGCAAGAGCTGGATGTCTTTTGCTACATAGACGCGCCACTGAGCCTGACAATTTGTGAAGAATCAAAGGCTTCCCTTGTACAATTCTGATTGCGCTGAGGAAGACGAAAGGCAACTGACACGCAATACATCCCAGACTCTCAGACTCAAACAACCTCGAATAAAAGAACACAAGCAAACGACACCACCATCTACACCTTGACTACCTGCATGCCAAAGCTAAGCAGCAACCCCAAAAGAAACCAACATCAAGTCGATTCCGCAGCATTGAACTTGCGAAGCACACCACAGCATAGACCCCAAATAGCAACTGACTCTAAAAACAAAAGAAGCTGAGAAAAAACAATCAAGTGATTCACGAAAAGGAGCCCTGAGAGCCTCCAGTGACCGCGAGCGGGTCCAGCAGAACCTCTCGGCATGACTCGGCAAATCTCATAGCTTTCTTCGGGCTCCCTGCCCGCAGTCTCCGATCGCACAGGGAGAGAAGGCCGCAGCAGCAAACAAAAGACCGATCACACAGCCAGGCAAGTGGGGATTGCGAAGAAGTGGGGAGACCAGGAAGCAGCAGCAGCAGCAGGGGACCACAACGCCGATCAGCCACCCAGCCATTGAAAAGTAAGAACCCCTACAGCTTGCAGCTAACTTGGGAATTACACTACATAAAGGAAAAACAAACAATGAGAAGTTATGGACAGCGAACCTCCGACTCCTCTGATCCCGAACCTCCAACCACCTGCGCCAATATCTCAGCCTCCTCACCCTTTTCAACCTCCTTAAATGCCTTCCCAACCACTCCTGAACCTGCTTAGGGGCCCGCGGCGGAACCTCCCAGCTGAAAGCCCCACCACAGAATGAACCAGAAAGCGCCTGCTCCATCGACAGCTGCTCACTCAGAACAGAGCGAACACAACTGACCAACTCTGGCTTGTCGTTGATCTCTTGCAGCAAGGATTGGACGATGACAAAGCTGTCTGCGTGTTGGGAATCAAATCCAAAACGAGGAACTACATGAGGCAATGCATCTGCAAGAATCCTCCGGAAACGATCCGGAGATGGCTCTTCAAGACCGTAAATCTCTGCAATTGTGCCCTTCAAAAGCTCCTCAGGTCGCATTCCCCATGGCAACACGTGCGAAAAGTGATCGACACCAACCCCAGTCCATTCACACTTCCTCACATCCAAAGTCGAAGGCCTACTCTGACTCTGTTCAGCACCAGGTCCAGCTAACAGAAAAGGTCGCATGCTATGTTCCCCGCCACTTCCTCGCACACCATGAACAACCAAAGCTAGAATGTGCAAGCCAAATCCTTTGAGCTTGCCATTGAGGCTGCCCTCGATCTGTTCAGCACACCACTCCAGTTGAAACCGCATGTAATCCACAATGTCCTGGGCATCGTCTTGCTTCATATTCACGTGCACATGCAAGACTGAGAGGATTTGGCCGTTGCTCCCTGATAGCCGCTTTTCAATCTGCTCGATATGTTCTTTCATGTTCTCTCTCAAAGCAGCTTCGGAGATGATGTTGGCGATGCACACCTTGGAGAAGACCTTCTCCTGATCTTTCAAGCCTGGCATTGCCTCCAGGTCAAGTGATTGATTCGGGTCGCTGAAAGTCGGAACAAGCACTGGAACGATCACATGGCCTGCTGAATCGCCAAACTTGTTGTACAATTCCCTCATGAGTTCTCCAAAGTGTGACTTTGAGCTTCGACAATATGTGTGTGAATCCATCCGTCCCTCCAGCATGCAGTCCGGCGAGGCCAATAGTGAGAACAACGCTTCCTTTGTCACGGCACTGCCCACGCAGCCATCTTCAAGCGATTCAGACTGAGCATTTCGCATGAAAGCCGACATCGTGAGAGTTTGCAAAAAAAAGGCCCAGATCAGGCTCATACGAATTCATTGGGCAAGCTGCAACGACGTCTGTCGGCCGTTCTCCGTTCTTTCCCTGCACTGCTGGGCAAGCCTTGGCCAGCTGCTCCTGCCACTCAAGAACTTCGTCCATGGAGGGCAACAAATCTTCCAATTCCACCTCAGCTAGGACGCCACTGCGGTCAATACACAACCATGTCCCTGACACTCAATCCGGATGCGACTGCTGCGCGACGCTGCCCAAGTGGAGGATAATATATATATATATATGTGTGTGTGTGTGTATGTATGTATGTACGTATGTTTAAATATATACATATATGTATATATACATACAGTACACGTAAAGCTCAAGTGTGCGCGCTTAGAGCTCCAGAACCTATCTCTGAGACAAATCCATGCCAGGGGGCGCAAGCCATCAAAGAGAAAAATGTCATTGTGGGTGAATCGACAAAAGGAAAGCGGAAAGGGGAGGTCATGGAATGTTTGGGGAGTCACGCTCCAAAAGAAGAACAAGGCCAAGAGAACAAAAGAAGAGTCCTTGTTACCTAGTTACGAGGCTATGAGTCCTTCAGCATCGTCCTCCTCGTCTCGGGTGTCGGAGCTGCGATCTACCTTGCGCTTGGCATTGCAGGAGAACACGAGCAAGGGCAAAAGTATCATGGAGACAGTGCAGTGAAGGAGATTGCGGGAGATGTGGACGAGCAGGAGGAAGAAGGATTTGAACCTTCGCAAGAAGCTCTACAACAAGCTTGGTCGCTTGAACCAGGTGAAGGTGGAGAAGACCAAAGCATGCGAAGCCTTTCAGCAAGAACTTGTGAATCTCCTCGGAAGGCAAATGGAGAAGTATTCCATTAATCCAAGCATATGGAGGAGATCGACCTTGGAGATTGCCAAGGTGCAGGAGAAAATCGAAGATCTGGACACAGATTTGGCGCTCAAGGAGTCCAAGGATTTGACTGTGGGGGGGGTCCAGGGCAGTTGAGACATTCTAAGGAGCTCTGGACGTTGTTGGACCTGTGGAGCAGAGAATTTGCCAAGTCGACGTGGGCAACAAGTTGCTTGGGTTCGCCCTGCGAATGTGCTTGTACCAGGCTGGCCAGAGGAAATTCTCCCTCCTCGAACATCTGCAAAATGCAGCAGCTTACAGGGCGGACAAGAAAAGCTCGCCGGGCATCTGGCGGGCTGGGCAGGACTGTTTGTGGAACTCTCTTTCGAGCAGGGACACTTCAACCAGTCCAGTCCCAAGCCAACTCAGTGATGTTGACCTCACTACTACTGCTCGGGATGTCGAACTTTTGAATTGGACGTCTGCAAGGCCTCTGCGGCCTCTGCCATTGGATGGGAAGGAAAAGCTTTCCGCACAGCCAAGTTGAAAGAATACGTACGCTATGCAATATGGTCGCAAGGCTTTTCAAGCACCGGTTGATGGGTTGAGGGGAGGGCCGTGGAAGAAACTCCCGAAGAGCTCGACTGGCTGTTCAAGCACCAGACCGATGGTCCAGCCCCGATTACGCCGGTGTGCACAGATCTAATTGTATCAGAATTTACTCTGCTAGGCCGGCGACGCGCTTAACTGCACTGACCGCTCATGGAAATGGAAATGGAAAAACAGTACATGTTTGTCGCAAGGGACTCTGCTGTGTCGATACCTAGTTCAATTGAAAGTTGTTGCGTTGAATGGGCCTGGCGCCTCTACCAGCCCACGTCACCGAGACCTCAGATACAGAGGCAGCCAAATCTTTCTTCTTGGTCTCTTGAGCCTGCTCTGTCCGATCTTACTAAGTCTTGCTTGTCGCAGAGCACCAGTAACGATACATGACACCAAATGAAGTTGCGGAAGTCTGATTGTTCATCTGCCTCGCCATACAGGCGCAAACAGAACGAATACATTGCAAGTATTGTGACAGTGCTTGGGGTAGTGAGGCACGTGCATGTGTCTATGCCACGCATATGCATGCACATTTATATATATATATATATATGTGTGTGTGTATGTATATGTCCGCGTGTCTGTGTGTATCTCAACTATGCAGCTAAGCAAAGAAGGAGAAAAAGTATCCACAAAAGGACATTCTACGCGGCTTCGACACATTCTTGAGAATATTGGCCTGGAAAGAACCAAACACGGGAAACAAGGAGTCCAAGCAGTCTGTGTGCCTGCAACTGGCATGTTGACATGTAACCTTGGCTCCGGCCTCCAGCTTGGCAAAGCGATTCAGCAAAGCTGGTTCATACCTCGCAGCTCGTTCGCGAGTCACCACAAGGACTGCCTTGAACTGATCTGCCACCGCGCACCGATTGTTGCAGAAGCCTTGCCGAGCAATTCGGCAGTACCTTTGACTGTTGAGGCCACTGGCACGGCTGGAGTTGGAGTTGAAGACATCGTACAGGGCTGCGTAGATGATGTCCAAGTTCTGCAATATGAGGAGGCGCCTTTCCTGCGCCATACTCACAATTGCAGCTTGGATCATGGATTGAGCATACATCTCAGTGCTCACCTGATCCTGTTTCAGTGGGCTTCCAACCAAGCTCTCAGGATTCCAATTTGCCACTTGACGAGCCCGGTGCTGAATCCAAGCAATCACAGGCCCAGGAGAGTCAGTAATTACCATGATATGCCGGCCGGCCACATCACCGAGCAAACTGTCCAAGCGATTCGAGACATGGAGGATTTCTGAATAGATTTCTTCAAGAACTGGTATCGACTGGTGGGTTTGCTGGTGTTCATTCTGGCTGAGGCTGTGAAGCATCTTGTCAAGTGCACCTGAGGAGTGGTTGCCACTCATGTTGTTGAGGACTGCCATCGTCAAAGCCCAATCTGCCGGCACGAACTGCAAATGCCTTTCCCGACATAATTTGACAAGTTGCTCAGCTTCTTTGCCCAGCTCATCAGAAACCGCATGCATCAAAGCTCCATGCTTCACTTCTTCGCAACCCCAACCCATCTCCACATCTGCAGCCAGCAGCAGGCGTGCTGCAAATGAGCACATCCCGTACCAATCGCGGAGACCATGAAAGTCTCGGGGCATCTGATTCTGCAAAATCTCCATGAAGGCAGCTGCCACGTGGCCTAGACTGGCTTCTAATTGGCCACGGATCTCACTTTCATGGGACAAATCCGCCGACCCCTGCTCTGGCGAAGGCAGGGGCGGCGCCTGGGACCACCGAAGGTGTGGAACCTGAGCTCTCCAAATCCTTACTTTTCTGGGCCCGAAAGCAAAAGCGCCAAAAGTTCGCACTTGCTAGACTGTGGGCTCTGGGCTCTGTGCCAGACTGTGGGCCATACTGGCCGTTGGAGCAGCCAGCTTCTGGATTCTGGACGCTTCAGACGCTCCAAAACCTCGC